TTGTCCTCTGTGATAGGAGCTAGAACGTGCAGTTTCCTTCCTATGTAGCCCTTCTCTTTTCTTGGACTATGCTATTAGACATTTTCCAACCCAAAAATACCTCATTCGTGGACTATGTTCTACGTCACTGGGCTAGACCGATATAAGCTTAGTAAGAGATGAAGGTACCTGGTTTGCTGCCTTAACGTACGCAATTAGCCGGTATGTTAAGAAGAAAGGAAACAAGAGACAACTCTCCTAAAAGAAATCTGAGGAAGGCCATAATCGACACTAAAGCAGAAGTTATTGGCGTCACCAAATTTCGCGACCTCCCCAGCTGTAACGGGTGTGTTTCTTGGCGGTAGGCCGTCCTCATAAGCCATGCTGGGGTAGTTTCTGCGTCCTATTATTTTCAAATAGGAATATAGTGCACTGTGTTCAGGCTTTGGGGAGGACCAATGGATGAACACCCGACGTCTTGCTTTTTGGTATGCATGTAGGAGTTTAAGCCGTGAGTCTGCCCAGAGCACTACAATTATCACTCCCAGTTTCGTACAGGAAGAAGAGGGTAGGACCAGTAGGAGTTGTTTATTGTGCATAGGAATTACGTGGTGGTCCGAAGCCCCCAGGCACGGCAGGCCCCGGGGCCTTGCACGCGCGTCTGTCTGTTAGTGTGCTATGGGGCGTAAGTGAATAAACTTTATTCGAGAATGAGTCACTGGCCAGTTGATCAACTGCTTGGCCAATAGCAGTCTACGGCACCTGTGATTGGCTAACCCAGAAGGAGATAGAGGAGCGAAGTCAAGCGATATACCTTTAACAAATTCCAAGTATACTCCCTAAATTGCAAGTTTTGGATGGGGAACTGACGCAAACATTGCGAATTGCAAATCGTCTGGTTTATTTTACGCTTTGCAGTGCGTCTTTGCATTCTCCGGCAGTATCCGTTTGTGTGATCATTCCCGTCGGACGACGCTTTCGGTGTATCAGGCGTAATCCGGGAAACTTCTCGACGAAAACGATGCATTTTGTGGTGATATAATATAGCTGACCGTGAAACGGTTCTGCTCATAAGCTGCTTCCATATTTACCAAATGGATTTCCTGTTGTCGCATGATGTAAGTAGAAGTTCAGCTCACCACGGATCCCTCAGAACTACCTATTTGGACTACGCTAGTACTTAAGGTTTCTTAAGGTAGCGTCAGTTGAACATTATTTTCATCCCGCTAAAATTATTTCATCGGATTGCATATTGTTAACTTCAGTGGAAGTCCACGTGTTTAAGTCTGTGAATAAGCAAGTAATCCTTATTCATCTCACGCATCAGCCTGCGTATCCATCACACTGGGACCGGTGCGCCTGTGTCTGAAACTCTGACATCCACTAGTCGCACACGCTTCTACTGCCCGCAATGAACACACACAAATTTACTCACCGTATGCACCTGCCAGGCCACACGCGCCTCCATAATAACCTGCGGTGGAGCACCGCCGGCTACCATATTTCTCCTCACCATCACCTACATCACATATGACCAAGCTAAACTCCAGACAAACCATGTTTGTAAACAGTAACCCTCATTTGAGAGGGTAGTATGATCATCGACTCCTTCCTCATTTGGCTCATCTGCTGACTGTATGCTCTGAGGCTGAGACTACCACGGTACGCTAACCACGGTGCCTTGGAAGGCCGCTACGGCGCTAAGCCGACAACTGGCCTCGCGTCAGGCAGCAAGGGTTCCTACTTAACGTGATCCCCGAAACCCTGTGTGTGAAATCCTATTACGTGTGTTCGAAGGGCCAGGTTGTATACGTATTGCGTGCAGACGATGTCATCCAGTATAGCAGCAGCCGTAACCATTACCCACACCTGTCCACTGACCGGCTCGGACATCGTAGACATCATAAGCACGCTTATGGATGAAAGGAGGAGGTGACAGCTTAGGTCACGAGATCATAACCGAAGTGCCGGAGGTGCAACACTGATGTAGCTTTAATGATTGCAGGGTCCACGGACAAAGTGCGAAAAGAGAAAAACCCGTCACAAATCACCAGCAGTTAGTCGCGGGTGGACATATGGTAGAACGGTAAAAGGCTGCGTAGACTATTGCCACGAGGTGTGGTAGATGTGATGGTTGAAGAGATCGTTGCAGTTTGCATGGGAACAAGTGTAAGAGACTGCAAAACATTTGCCTGAGTAGGAAGATTCACGGTTGACCCAGGAAACCATCGTCAGGATTGTAAAACCGAGGAACTCATAGAGGTCCTCAACATTTTGCGATCCCGATCTAAAATTTGGAGGGGAATAAAGGGCTGTAGCGCTGGTGCCAAGCCCGCAAATCGCACGTGACTTCGCTACTCTACCTCTTTCTGGGCCAGACAATCACAGGTGCCGTAGACTTCTATTGAACAAGTAGTTGATCGATTGTCCAATGACTCACTCTCGCATGACGTTTATTCACTTACGCCCACAGCACACTAACATACGGACGCGTGCGCGCACAGGGCCCGCGGCCTTCCGCGCGTCTGGGATTCAGACCACCGTTGAGTTCCTGTACACAATAAACAACTCCTACTGGTCTTACCCCTCTTCTTCCTGTAGGGAACTATGCGTGATAATTGTAATGTTCTGAGCGCACTCAGGACTTAGACTCCTTCAGGGCTGCTATGGCAATATCTGTAGTGAACAATATCAACATATGTAAAAAGCAATTAATATCAAGGGAACCGCTTCAAATACCAGACGGACCCTTTCAAAATGAAAAAGTTGAGTATTTATGAAGGACACGGACAAAAATGACTTTATATCTTCCGAAGCTCAATGGTTATGTAATGTAGATTTGAATATTGCTAGTGGAGTTGACTGCGTGAGTTCAAGTAGAAGAGTATCCTAATAGAAGGCATACTTGGGGCTGTAAAACGAGGCACAAATGAAAAATGTGCATATTTGCAGCCACTAAGATACTCGCTAACGCCTGAAACACAAAGAGCGGAAATTGAGTAGAACGTGGTTATCAGATGGGAAACTCACTAAATTGATCCATCGATCTGGTGCCGGCACACAAAGCCCTGTACAATCACCTTTAAACTTGCGTCATTGACGTTTGATTGGCTTGAAACTTCACTACATGTGCTGATCATTGCTCTGATGATGGACTGCTGCACGAGTGAGAAAGCTCAGGAAATTAACAACTCGTTCCGCTGACCGACCTATATTTATCATGCTCAAATCTTATTGTCACCTGGTTATAAGATCATAAACCAGCAGTAAAATTTGAGATAAGGGAACCACGCATACCTGCATAATACCATACCGCTGTTGCAAGTGATCAGGGTTATTCTGTGGCTGTAGTGAACCTTTCGGTTCTTTGGCTCATTTGCAGAACTTGACAACGTCGCCGAATGTTATCCTCTCCTAATTCAATT